GTCTAGAAGGCTTTCTAGATGTAGAAGCCCTTCTAGACAACTTCTACTATATATTATAATATTTATTCAATTTATCTTTTTTTTTTCAACCAATTACAATTTTACACATCACAAATAATACAACAATTAACACTAACCATTGGAGACGCAATTTTTTAATTTTCTTTTTCTATGTTATACAATACAATTTCCATTGGAGATGCACTAAAGTTCCCGATTGGAGGATGGGGCCCAGGGCGTCATGTCCATGGGGTAACTGCCAAGTACCCTGAGGAAGGAGGTGAACTCCTGCACCTCCGCCAGCGCGTTTTGCGCCCTCGCCTCCGCCAACGAGGCCTCGAAATCGACGTAGAACATGTACTCGAAGTGCTTGGCCGTCCCCACGTTTGCGTCGTCCACCAGCCGTATCGGCCGATGCCTGTGGGGCCTCGACTCTATCTTCGTCAGGCTGATGTTGCGGAAGGCGAACGCTGACAGCACCTTGAAGAGGACGCTGGTCCCATGCCCCTCGTGCGCGAACACGATGCTCGTCTTGAACGGCCGGTCCGTCCGCGGCACAATCGGCTCCCGTGCCAACATCACGAACCGAGTCATGTTCCCCGAGTCGTCCTGGATCCCGTTCGCCAGTACCTGCAGCCCGTACAGATCCGCCGCACGCGCCGACGCGATCGCCGCTGTGTCCCGGAGCCCGTTCTCTGCGATGTACTCCGCCGCCCCTGCAGTGTCGTCCACTGCCTCACGCGCCACCGCCAGTCCCATCTTAGTCAGGGTGTGCTCGCACTGGGCCAGGGCCTGCGGGTGGCTGATCACGCGCGTGAGGTACTCGCGCCTGACCCCTGGGAGGGCGAGGAGGCAGTGGTGGAAGGGGAGCTGGACCTCGCCTACGATGTGGAGGCGGTGGCGGAGGAGGAGGTCGTAGTTGCGGTGAATCGAGCCGCCCAGCGAGTTCTCCACCGGGAGGACGGCCCGATCTGCGATCCAGAGCTCCACCGCCTGGAAGGCCACCTCGAACTGGTCGCAGGGAATGGCCTCGCAACCGGGGTAGGCACGGCCGGCGGCGGCCTCGCTGTATGCGCCGGGGACGCCCTTGTAGGCCACGCGGAGACTGGACCCGTGCATCGGCGCCGGGGAGAGGTCGGAGATGCTGAGCGGCCGGGGTAGAAGCGGCGCGGCGGGGGAGGGCTCGCCGGCGGAGACGAGGTCGAGGACGGGGCGGCCGTTGACGGCGGAGATGGCGTCAGCTCCGCCGCTGCTTTGATCGGATCCTTGCTGCTGAGAGACGACCTTGCTGGCGAGTATGGCGCACGCGCTCTGCCACTCGTGGCGGGCCCTGCCGACGGGGGCGCCGAGAACAGGGTCGTAGCGCGAGGCACATTGGATGAAGAGGCGGCGGGTCCGGCGAAGGGCGTTGGACGGCGTGTTTCGTATTATGGAATTGAGATCTGAGGCGGATAAGGATTGCATTGTGAGCGGGGTGAAAATGGAATTTAAAAGCTTGTAGTTCGTATAGAACGTGCAAGCTAAAACAAAAACGGAGAGAAGGGGGTTTTTATATGAGTGCGGTGTTCTGTGGGCACAGAGAGTGGAAGAAAGAAAAGATGAGGTTACATGGTTAGTTTCATTTTGGTCTCTCTCACCTACCCCTTTCAACTCTCTCTACTTTTCTTTTCGCTAGTACGTAGCTGTAGACGTAGCCGCAAGATATACACACAAAGGTGACGTTTTGTACATGAGTGGAACTTTCATCTTCCTCACTTGTAAAAAAAAATAAAATAAAATAATATTGTACCGAAAAAAATAAAAATAAATCAAAATAAAAAAAAAAATTCATTTTTTTTTGTATATGGGGAACACTTGTCCTTCATTTAATAGTGCCACCATCTTCAAACGGATGTTAAATAACGGATGAGTGACGGATCAAAATCAATTTTGAAGAAATTCTGAGTTTTTTTTTTTGTTTTTTTTCGAATGATTAAAATGAGATAATTTTAAATAAAGTTGATTGAGTTAAATATTGTGTGAGATATTGAATATGTATTAAATAAT